AAAAATTAAGTAATTGCATATTGATGTTTCTGCTAAGCCCAGGATGAAGTTTGTTAGTTAGATTTTAAGGATCCTTTGAGGCAAATAAGATCAGTTGATTATAAAGTCTAACAACAACCATAGTTAAAGAAAAAGCCTCAGAGGTACATGGACATTCTGAAAATCTGGAACACTTGGGACTGACTGGTCATGCGTCACCGCTCGTCTTCTATGGCCTTTCAGGGTTGCAGGGGGGCGTGAAGAACAGAAAACACCAGAAATGGTGGTGAGAGCTGTAAGTCGTGGTTAAACTGGTGTTGTTATGCTGTGAATAAAAGGGTCTCGTTTTGGGGATCCTTTGCACTATAAATGAGACAACACTTAAACATTGATTTTGGTGCTTACCTACTGTTTATTATAACTTGTTATATATTGAAAGGGTTGCATTTATAATTTACTTACTTATTCCAGAAGGCAAGATGTTAATTAAATACACTTCTGTGCTTAATAATTCCACTTGCATTTTGGCAAAGCTAAAATTTCAGTAGGATCAACAAAACATTAATAGTTTTTATTTTTTACAGTCTTTGTAATTAGTAACTCCAAAAAAATCTGAAGGTTCAAGGATTGTATCTTTACCTAGAAATAGACCAAAGTCTCCTTCTACACAAGTTCAAATTTTCAAAAAGGATTCTTAAAAATAACTAACTATACATTTCTTCACTTAACACTTTAAAGGCTAATTGTGTATCCTACATAATAGATGATCAGAGGATCAGATGGCAACTTTTTGCTTATGTTCAATTACTTTTCTCAAGCAGTGGTTGGTGGTGAGAGAAGATATTTTTCCTTTCATTTTCTTTTTCTTAATCTTTTTTTCTTTTCCATTTCCCTTCTTTTTATCTCTCTAGAGCTTGGGAAGGGCTAAAACCTCTGGGGATCTTGGCTGAAGACTGAGACTTCATTCTGTGCTTGATGAGTACAATCATCTTGATCTAGAAAGGAGATTCTGCAGAAAGTGCATCCATCAGGCATTCGTAAATATGCCTTAGTACATAGTCCCCACTGGTCTCCACAGCAAGATCCCAGGAATTCATCAGCTGAATTACACTTTTAAATATTTATGCATTTTGGTTAACCTGAAAGGCTCAACATGAGGAATTCTTTCCATGATCATGCTATTGGAGTTGACTGCATCTATGTGGTACCTCAGCAATTTAGAAGGGAGGGAGCCAGCAGGTTCTAGGATCACTTCTGGGGTGAAAAATGGAAATACTACAAAAAATGTATGTTTGTAATTTCTAAGAGAATAGCCAACATATGTCTGTGTTGTGCTGATTTCCTTTATACGACTTATACTACTAAAATTCTTTTTTTATGCTTTTCCTCACCTACCATTTTTGGTATTCACAAATGTTAAGATTTTTTTTTTTTTTACATTCTTTCGTAGGTGAGTCATAGAGGGCAGTATGATTGTGAGTGCTCCAGTATGAATAAACACCTTCAGAACAGTTTTACAAGGGCAACTTGTGAAATGGAAAATCATTAGTCATTCACTTTTGTAGCGTCCTTTTAAAGGAAAGAACTTTGGGAAAACAGTTTCTTTTTCTTGGTTACCAGGAGATAATTGTTATTGGATAAAGACTTTTCTTACACTATGTGCAATAAATGATGTTGTTCAATAACAGTACAAATATCTCTGATTTCAGAGAACACATGCCTGGTTATAATATAACATACTGTACAAACTTAGGAAGAATAATATATCCTTTTGCTCAATAATTTATTCATTCTAGTGTGCAAAATGCTATTGTAAGGTGGCTGTGGCAGACTGCCCATCCATTTTAGGTTTTTTTTGTTCTGTTTTTTTTTTGTTCTTACTTGCTGTATTCCATTAAGAAGGGAAACCAGATCAGATAAAACCCTCTGGCAAAAAGAAAGGTTGTTCATTACTTAGGGACACTGGAGGATGTGCAGGGAAAGAAGGTTTTAGAAAATGCAAGTGTATCAATTATAAAAGGCCCGGAGAAACACAGCAAGGGTTAGGGATCTGCAATTTTAGAGGAAGAACTGGGAGGAAAATGAGCAGGGAACGGAGAGACAGGTTTCACAGGTGATGAAAGGGAAACTTCCCAGGTCCTGGAGGAAACTCTTCCTCTTTCTGCACCTCAGAAAATCACTGAAGTGACAGACATCAAGTCTGAAAGCAACAATCCTTTTTGAACAAAAAAAATGGGCCGGACAAGACTTCTTTATTTTCTGCCTTATCCAACTATTCTGAGGTTTCCTCTTTATTTGGGGGTAAAAATCCTTTGTGAAGGTGTCCTTTCAAGAACCTTCTGTAAGGAAATAGTTTAAGCAACCCATTTTAAAGTTTTACCTGCATATTAGAAACAAAATATTGTTTAGAAATAGATAATATAAGCACATGCAACTTTCTTGTCTGACTGATATCTTCATTATTCCTGGTTTTTTTTTTTTTTTTGTTTTACCCTGAATACTAATTACAATTATTTGTGTAAGTAAAATAAAAGCATTTAATATTTTCTATTATTCTTAAATAAAACTTAGGATAGAAATTCAGTGTATTCAATGTTCCACTGCTCTAAATGTAAAGTTACATTCCATGAAAACTTGCTGGGCACTGAATTTGCCACAGAGAGATATCCTGGACCATTGTTCCTCTTACAGTGTAATGAATAGTGTAATCTTCATATCACCACTTGTCTTTCGTTGGAGCCTTTTGGAACAAGAAATGCTTTTCATGTGTGCCTTGATTCTTTCCCTCTGTCATGATTATTTTCTTTCTACAGGGATTCATGGTGGTACTGAATGAATAGCTATCTGAACTAATGAAGTGGACACTCCGTCATAGGCTTTTATTTCAGTGCAGATTAGATTTACATACTTTATTGTGTCAGAGTTAAATATATATGGTATTATTGAAAAATAACTTATAATTTAATGAAAATAACATAAAAGGTAATGGATCTATTTATAGCTCTTAGTCTAATTATACTGCCAATCCATTTGTAAGTAGGGAAGTAAATGAGAGTAATGAGAGAAAAAACAGGAAGAAAGCAAAAGTGTGGTAAGATCGTTGCATTCTTCATTTTGTCTCTGTATAAACCTTTGTACAAGAGGAGAATTCAGAGTCAGAGTTTCCAAGCCTATGAAACCTAATCTGCCCCAGAGGGATATCTTTGTATCAGTTCAGGTATCCCAAGGTAGCAGACTAGATTGTCCTACTCTGGGAGTTTTTTCTTTTTTTCATATTATATCGGAACCTCTTACAGTAGTGGGAATTAAGGAAGATTAAAAAAAATCATACGTTAAAAATTCTATTTTTTGCATCATTGGTCAAACTTACAAAGGGCTAACATGGACCCAAGGCAGGTATCAGGAAAACTTTGTTTTCAGTGCAGTTYTCAGAAGTCCAGAGGAGTATGTCTGGATTTGTAGTGACTAATTACCTTTGTATTTTCTGCCAAATTCTTAGTAAAATTATCTATGTATTTGCTAGGAACTTKTATTGCTTTTATGGTTTGTTTTGCTCTTTTTGTTTCCCTTTAATTGATTCTAATAGATATATATTAACATGTGAATTTTACTTTTCCAGCAAGTCTGCTATTTTATCGTTAACTTGCTTTCGCTGTGCCTTTTACCTTTATCAAGGTGTCGTGAAATAATCCATATGGCCAAACTTCTGTTTTGCATTTTGCATTTGCACTTATATATGCTTAGACACTTAAATTTACCTGCATTTACTGTTTGCCAGTTGTTCAACAGTTGCCATGGTTGTTCATCAGTAAAGGACTTTTAGCCTTAATTAACCACATTATTAATAATGAAAAATGCTACAAAGAGAAAGATGCTACAACAGAGTCAAAGCGTTGATTTCAGTCCTGGYGAGATATTGTCCTATTTGCTCTGAGTTTGCTCTAACTATCTAAAGATCTGTTTGCTCACTATAGACCTCCTTTTGAGAAATGGTTGGAGAAAATCTAACACAGAACTTTAAATAAAACTATTTTTTCTTATTATAATGAACTGTAAAATTCTTCTTCTGTAGTATTTTGTTTCTAAGGAAAACTCTGTTTTCCACAGCAATCAGAATATTATTCTTTTCCCTTGARTGCTTTTTGCTTGATAAAACCCTGTTACATTCCTTAAAAATGTCACAGACTTGGTAATTATGTGAATAAGTGAGATAAGTTGATACAGTTAGGAACAAATGCTTCTAAGACATTTATATGTATATTTAGATGAATTAATGAAACTAGTCTTCTTTGTTGTCTTGTAGTTTGTGGAAGAGCAAAGGTTGCTGAAATCTTGACAGTGTACATAGAATTTTTCTAAAATTTTATCTTGAAGTAAAAAAGAATAAATAAACTCCTTTGATGACGGAATAGTGAAAGCAGCCTTGATGTATGTTTTTTAATTGTTTTAAGGCATAGGTAGGCAGGATCTTTTAGTTAGTCAAGTAGCAGTAGGAGGGGACCCAGTCAAGCTGGCAGATTAATGTTTGCTTAGTTACCTTCCCAGGACAAAGTAGTCAGTTAGTGATATTCAAAATCCAGTTGGAGGCTTGTGGTGAGGAACAAGACTTCAGGATTTGTGAACTACTACTTGACTGAAAGAGCTTGTTTTTGTACAGAAGAAATGATACCGTCTAACTGAAGTAACTTTTCATTTCACTGATACATTCTAATAGTAGATTGAATTTTAATGTTGTAATAAAGCTCTTTCATTATTTTTCACATAGATTTTGTCTTAAAATTTATTTCCTTTTCACTGTAAATTATAATGGTATGAACATTTGCAGGCAAAATAGGAGTATAGTATTCTGCTTTTTATTTATTTGCCTATGTTCCATAATTCTAATTTCAATGGATGCTGGACCATGACCTTTAAAATGGTGTCTATTAAAGTAGAGGCTGGTTTAGGAGTATATCGTGTTCTTCCCTGGTACTCGTGAAAAATTCTCTTTTCCTTTCTCTTCTTTGCATTTAAATAGGAAGACAGCTACCTTCAGATGATACAGGACTCACTGACAATCACTCTCGCACCAGTTCTACTTCATGAGCACTTCAGAAGATACTAACTGAGGTACTTATTTGTTTTCTTTTTTCTGGATTATTTTTTCTTTATACATACTAGATAGATGTGAGAGCAGGGAAAGGATGTTTCAGGAATTGAGACCAAGAGTAGTAGTCGTGCATAGAAAATACAAGAGTTTTCCCCAGAAAGAGAACTACTGGGTGATTTAATCTAATCCCTTTCTCTAGCTGGGCACTCTGCCAGGCAATCATTTTTTATGAACTGAGAAATCAAATAATTACAAATATGCCAAAAGGAAACATGTTAAAATTAAATTACAGTGTTGCTTTTTTTGGTTTGTTTTGTTTTCTGGTCCATATTTTTATGATCCTCTGCTTATCTGCAAGAATGGATAAATAATTTTGCAGGGAATTGTTGGACATGAACAGTGACTATAGTAAGCCTTTCAAAACTGTGACACTTACAGGTTTCTACCTCTCATGCTTACAAGGAATTTCAATTAAAGAAAAGCTTGATGTTAATACAGTACACAAATGCTTCCATCACAGTTTATCTTCCATAAATCCGAGMGATTAAATAAAAAGCTGCTTAAGGAAATTTTCAAATATTTTATTATTTAAATTATTTGTCATTTTTGTCAGATACATGTGAATTAGTTCATTTATGTGGAAATGAATTACTTCATTTGTGTACATAAACAGAGTCTGATAAAGGATTAATGGCCAGAGAATTCATAAAAGGAGAAAAGGATCTTGTAACTCTGCAATCGGATGGATTTATGTCAGTCCTGAATTTATGATCTGCAGCTGTTGCATGTCTGATAGAAGGGCTGTCTTCTAAAGCATGCTAACAGCGTGAGTCCYTAGCTAGAATAAAGGAAACACTGTACTTTGTGAAGCAAAATTGTCTGAACATATGGATAATGATTACAATACTTCACTTAGCACTTGTTAACAGGACTTTTAATCTCCTATAAATCTTACAATTGTATCTTTTTATGCTTTATAATTTGTAGACAGCTACCAACACAGATTTTGTCTTAAGTATTGTGGTTTAAACAGAAAATCCATGGATCAGTATTTGTATAGTCAGTCTAATGTAAGCAGGACTGGAATTTTAGTTTCAGCATTTTAAAACTCAAAGCTAGAATGTCACTGAAGAACATGTTTCTCAATTTCTATAATATAATCTCTAAATATATATGTAACTTCATTTTGTATTTTTTTAAAGCTCTTGATGTTTAACTGCATTTTTCTTAAATATGAAGAATAACAGTTTTTGGGAAAAGCTTATAATTAAGAAGTTAATATAATCATTATATGAAATTCATTTATATTATTTAAGGTATATTATATGTATTTTCATTTTTAAAGAGACTGTATTTACTGGTGTAGATTTTAGTTAGAATAATGTTAATCGAAAAAATCAGAAAAATTACTCTTTAATTTTTGTTGGATATTACGTATTACATATGTCAGGCAAAATTAGCAGCTAACAATACCATAGGATATAGATCCAAATCCTATGAGGTGCTGCATATTCTCAGATTTTAAAAGAGCACTTGGGATTTTGTGATCTTAAATGTAACATAATGGGCCATTTCAATAAGCATTATGTATTGGTTGTATCTCGTAATGTTACAGTTCATTTCTGTAGTCAGTGCACAACAATTTTAGCAGCAGAATTAGCTGCTTGTGTCACTGGTTAAAATTAGCTGTGTCTGTATGCCAAAGCAAGAGGATGGAATGTAAGACATGGCCAAACATGTGAACAAATTTTCTTCCAGTGATATTTGGCCAGGCCTAAAATATCTTCCACTCCAGATTTGAAAGTAGTGGAAAAGTTAGACAATTCTCTCTTGGGAAGARACTGCTTGTAGTTAATTCAGAAGTCCACATTGTTTCAGATCTCTAAGGTAAGTAACAATTATTTTATTGACTTTCTGTGTGCATATAATAACATTTACACATTAATGGTTAAGTTGTTTTAATCTTGCTCTTTATTTAATATATGATTACATTCAACTTGTTTTCCATCTGATTATCTGCATAGCATTTCAGCCGATTCTGTCTTCATTTAAGGATCGTTTCCTAACTGTATGCTTTTTTTTTTCCAAACCCAAATTTAAGTCTTTATTTTGTATATGTAATTGAATTTTAATCTCTGTTAATTTCAATATACTTTTTTTGTGATTAAATACAGTATTAAGCTGCACAAAGTAGACTTGCACTTATATATCAAAATGCTGGCTTCTAATACTTCTTAAATTTTGTCCAATATCAAATGACTGTACAGAGACATTTCTRTGCTGTCTTATGTAAATAAATCATTTGCAGCAGTAAACTTCTGATGGTTGTAGCTGTAYTTTTTTCTTAGTTTCCCTATCATGTACTGAAAGTTTAGCTTAGTCAGGAAGGGGCTCGTTGTTTTTGCTGAACACTTTTCCTTTATTCTTTGCAGTGTGATACTAAACTTGTAGATATCTCTTGGATGATTTCCCTAACTGAGAGTCAGTCTCAGCGCCTTCCTAACCAGATATCAGTAGGTACTGACTCACTAGCAGATGATTTAGTGAAACATTTTTGGCGTCTTTCTGCAAGGTGTTGCCACAAAACCATGCATCAAAGTCAGCACATAAATTCCTAAAACAGAACTTTGGGAAAGTGTAGGAATGTGCCCAAAACATCTGTTTCTGAGTCTTCTTTTATAGAGATATGGGAGATTTCTTTATATCTTAAATRTGAATAATATATTTTTCAGAATATATTCTTAAGTCTTTTATAGTAGAAGAATATATTCCTGAATATGTGCTTGAGAATCAGGAGCTGGCAGTGTCCTCCCCTCTTCATTTTGAAGGGCCCTAGATAAGTGTGGCTGGTGTAATTTGTGTTGGGTGAGATGAACTCCATCTCATGTAGGTTCGTCCAAGTAAGCAGTCCTCACATAAGCCATGATAACTTTGTGCAATAGAGTCCTGGAAGTTTATGGTCAGTTGAAATCTTTGTAGTTCTGCTTACCRTGCATACCATGTTCTGCATTACGATGCATGATCTGAGGCCACATTGGCTGAGCTGAGTCGGCTGATGTTTATCTTCTTCTGAACAAATTGTTAATTAATGATGTCAGGAGTGATTGGCTTCTTACTTCCTTATTTTTTTTCACTTATCACCCTTGGTGCCCCTTTTTATTTGTTACAATAATTCAAAAAACTTTTCAGGATATTTAGAATATTTTCATTGTCCAGTTCTCGTTATTTCCATTATTGCTATTGTGTTATTTTAGATTTTCTAGAGAGTGGCATAAATGAATTAGAGGAGAACTCAATGTGCCAGAAGGATGGAATGCTATTTTGGTTTTTTCTTTCCCAAATTCATCATGCTAGATGAACAGATGATAGTAGAACCACCTGGTCTTATCTTTCATTCTTTGAGCAAAGTCATGGATCCAGATCCCTCTTAGTTCAGAACTCAATTAAAATCAGGAGCTCATAGAGCCTTCTTCAATTTGATGTCTCTCTCAAATACTATCATTTTTGTCTCTCGGCTTCCTATGTCATTCAGAATCTATTTGCAAATTGCATCAGTGCTATATACTGCTACCTGCAAGCTAGTTGTTGTATGCATCAGATGATACATAAAAAAATGATATTTATAGCATAAACAGATATTTCTGGTCTCTTTGGTGAGTGGGTAGAGAGGATGGGGAAAACGCAAAAGATAATAGAGGAGAAAATAAGTACAAAACAGTAAGAAATTATTATATATTAGGTTTGAATTTTACTTGGGAATGTAAGGATGGAAATGGAGGGATACAGAATTTAAAGCCAAAAAGTTACCAGGGAGGATCTCTGTGGATTGAAAAATCACAGGAGAATATTTGGAAGACTGATAGAAATAGCTGTAATTATTTCTTGCCTGAATTAATGTTTTTACATTAGGGATAAGAAAATTCTAAGATGGGTTTCAATATCAAAASAGAGAAGGATTTGTATTTGTCTTGAATGAAGACAACTAGAGAGAGAGAATGTGAAGGCTACCAAAAGTCAGCATGAACGAGACTGCATCTGGTTTGTTTCCCTCCCATTACACTCCCAAAGAGTCTATGAGGAAGCTTTGTACCTTCACACAAAGCCTCAAGSCTTCTAACAAGTATTTCAGTTCCACAAAAATGCAATCATATTTAAGACTAAGGAAATGAAAGCTGACTCAAAGAAGTCTCAGAGCCAAGCTTTATGTAGTATGGATGGATGTTGTATGGAGTTTTATATGGATGGAGCCAAGTTTTACATATGACAGACTGCAAAACCAGGATAGAAGATAATAGTTATAAGCTTTTCATATTGCTTATCTTTTCAGGATATTTTGGCTATTTTTTCTGATTTCAAGTGCTCAAATACATCTGCAAAAAGCACTTCTGTGCCAAGAATACTGAAGCGTAAAGCTCCTGAAAACAGTTATCTTGTTTAAACATAGAACTTCACTATGAAATAGTATATTTCTTTTTCTATGAACTCTTTGCAAAATATTTTGTCATTTAATAACTAGATTCAATGTATATGTGAAGATAATGCTGTCACAAATAGATATGTGGTTATGCATTGTTATGACAGAGGAGAAACTGTTTATAAGACATATTTGATAAAAACACTTTGCTGTTTTTTATTGAAGCAGTCCAAATCACCAACATAGACCAGTTTCACCTACAAACCTTGAAAAATGCAGAAATTTAAGATCTGGCATTATTTATCTTCATTTTTTACCAAAAAATGACCCATAGAAATATGCATAGACTTTTCTAGAATTTTAGTGTAGTTTGTCTGAGTTAAGAAAACCTAATTTGTCATTGTTTCTCTCATGGAGAAACACCTTAAATGTTGCTCTGAAATAAATGCAATGTCGATGTATTGTAGATATAAAGGTTATAGAGTTTTATTCATAATATAAATGTTTGGCTCCCTACGTATYGAAAGAGCTTATTTGCCAGACAGATTGGATGAGGATGCTTCTGAATGTAGATGGTRCCATCTATTTATGCCTCTGTAGAACTTGCTTTTCCAAAGAAAGTGATTGCAAAGTGCATGCTGCCTTCATCAGAACCTGCAGTTTTCTTCAAACCTACAAGGAAGAGTTTAGTAGGTCGTAGGTGGAGGTTGGTCTTAACACTTGTTATGGYTGGTCTTAAAACTTGTTATGGTTTGTGCTTGTGATTTCATCCTAACGGGAATTGGTTTTGAGTTTCTTGAAGTGCTATCTTTAAAATGAAGACATATAAAAAAATAAAACTTACTTTTCATAATTCAGCATTGAGTAATGTCAACTTCCATTTAAAAAAATAAGAATTTAAGTAATAATTGCTTATTTACATTTTGGAGAAATGCTTTTCTGTGAAAAATACCACTTTGAGATGTGAAAAATGTATAAATTACATCATATGTGAGATTTTTTTCTTGTTTTACTTTAGAATGCATGCATATTTAACATGCATTTCTGGGTTTAGTTTGTGCTTCATTTATTTTTACGGCCAATTGGCAGATTAGCWGTGTGTTTTATATCTATTAGTTCTTTGCTGTTGCTGTTCATTTTAATCCCAAGAGAGGCATGTGCAGGAGAAGTAATACTCATTTGTKTTACTATGTACTTTTGGTTTTGTTCCATTATTGCTTTGTCATAGTCACTGAAGAAACACAGAGTCAGTTGCCACCTAAACATTTAATGTCAACATCACCAAAAAAGGCTTCTGCGGTACACAGCTTTTGATTATTGCCTTATGTGTCTAATACACACTTAATCTGTGTTCTCTTGTTTAAATAAAACTGAGTATTAGGGTTGTTATGACCGAGGCTGCAGTACAACAGAAACTCATCGGTTTGTGGTCTTTGACAATAAATATTCATCAGGAAAGGGCAGAGGTGCAAAAAATCAGATGAGGCACAGTATACATAGGACAACATCGTGCTTCCCGCTCTGCTGAAATGTAAAGTGAATTTTCACTTCTTCAGTTAAGCTTAGATGCATGTGTTCTTTCAACATTTTCACAATTGAGACTTTGTAGATGCAAGGTCAAATAGTCCTTTCACATTTGTTTAAACATAAATTTGTGATAAATCACTTAAAATAAGAAGGGAAGACATAACAGTTAATTTTAGCTCCAAAATGAGGAAGAAATTTTTTTACTCTTAAAGTGACAGAGCCCTGGAAGAGGCTGCCCAGGGAGGCTGTGGAGTCTCCTTCTCTGGAGATCTTCCAAACCCGCCTGGCTGTCACCCTGTGCCCCGTGCTCTGGGTGTCCCTGCTGGAGCAGGGGGTTGRACTAGATGATTTCCAGAGGTCCCTTCCAACCTCAGTCATTCTGTGATTCTGTGAAGCTAAGTGCTCTCTAATAACACAACACTATACCAAATCTTTCTGATGAAAATTAAAACAAGAATCCATCTTCTCGGGATAAGCATCTGTATGAAGTTCCATTCTTTGTGTATTTTCACTTCAGTATTGAAATTAAACTTCACAGAACTATCACTACTATATCCCCATCTGTTATGTGAAATCATTCATCAAGTCTTCCTACACTGCTCTTCCAATGTAAAGAATATAAAGGAGAAAGTAGTTATCCATTATTTTTATCAGTTTTGTAATTGCTACAGGTCAACTGTATGAACTGGCAGGAAGCCGCTAAAGAATTAACAGTTTCTTTCTCAGAAGTAACATTTTCATAAAAATAAGAGCAAGCATGAGAAAAGGAGAGAAACTTATGCCAGTGCCTATTTACATATATATTTAAATAGAGCTGTTCTTCTTTGCTGCCACACAGAGTACTTCTTCATAGCACTGAAGACGGGAAATGAGAACATTAAAGATAATATTAAAGGACTTTGGCTGAAAGCTGTCCCCCAAGAAAAAGTACGACTTACCAAACATC